CGTGCCATGTCGTCTTGTTTTTGAGGATCTTTTTGGTTCTATTCAAAGTGATTTCTTGATTGAGAACAGGTGTGGCAGTAATCAGGCCTGGATGTGGCTAAATTGACATTGAACTCAGTGTTACAATGCTGTGATACACCACAATGAATGTGTTATAACGGGGGGTTTGTATATCAGTTCAAATCAGATAAATCAGATCAGGGTATATCAGTTTTTCACATGGGGCCATGTAGGTTTGGATTTTTCTTCCCTCTTAAAAGCCTTCCTGTTTTTGTGTCATGTAACTAATATTTGATTATCTAATATTTGAATTTCTTTGATGAGCTCAAACATGCAAGTGTGACAAACATACAAAAATCAGGACGGGGCCAACAGTTTTTCACACCGCTGCAGGCTCAGTCTACATAACATTTAGATTCACTTTTTAGTTAAATTTTAAATAGCACCAATTCACAATTCAGTTGGTGATCAAACACACACTACATTATGTTACACTGACTAGAAAACATTTCACTATGGTACACAAAATAAAAGCTTCCCAATAAAGTAATAAAACAAACATCCTGTCAGCTTCCATCTTAGAGAAAACCTCTGACAACAAACTGAGAGAGTTTGCAAAGAGAGAAAACCTGTTTGGATGCTTACAGCAGTTACAGTTAAAACGGCCCGTGGTGGCTCCTCAGCCGGAGCGGGCGTGGCCAAGGTAAAGCGATCCCACGCCTGTGACGTGGACAATGACACCACGAGTAGTAACGCCGCTAAGCAACACTACCGGGGGAGTAGTGTGAGTGTCTGTTCATTTACAGCCTCCTACACTGTATATTCACTCCGTTTACATTTTTTAGTGTTAAATCTTCCTGTGAAACGCTGATCTAGACCCAAACAAACAAGACAGAAGGCAGGAAGTGATGCTTGTACTCGATGGTTATTGCCGACTCATGTTTCTACACATGAAAGGACAAATCAATTATTTAACCGAACTGCTAATGCATACAGATGTGTACAAAAAGCAAAAGTCTTGATATAAAACATGAATGAATTAATTGCCGAGTCAGAGAAAGGTGCATTTTAGTCTTTAGATTATTTTTATTATTGTAAAGAATTATACCTAAAATATGCGGCGCTTCACTTTAACGATGAGGAGAAAGCTGCTGTAGCAGAGCCGCTGTGATTAACACGACTGCTGTCATTGCCACTTTGCACCAGCATTTCAAATAAATGAAAAGTCAACAATGCAAAGCACGGCATTACTCAAGCTGTCTGCAGCTAATTTTAATTTTAGTGTATCAGTGTGTGTGTGTGGCTGAGTGCGAGAGAGCGAGTTACTCATAAGTGCAAAAACTCCATGTGCTGTTAAGTAGGAGAGAATTAACACATCATTAGCATTCAACGGGGTTTTAATGAGCAAACGTTTAAGCAGCTCTGCTAACTCCTGCAGAAATTATGAACAACTTGTATGTCATAAATTTTTCATATGGTTTCTGATTGTGCAACCATAGCATCGCCGTCACAAGCCAAAAAACTGAATTAAAGTGAATGGATCAGACAGTGTGATAACAGAGTAAGTAACATGTTGATCCAGTGGTTAGCACTGTTGCTGCACAGCACAAGTCCTGCAGTTAAATGCACTGGCTTC